TTCAAAATAAGACTCTGAAGCGTACATGCAACATTGTGTCAAGTTGAAAACACAAACCTCCAGCTGATAAATTAAATTACAGTCACTTCACTAGACAATGCCAGGCTGACACAATATAGTGCATAATTTTTCAAGAAATATTGCCAAGATCTCCTTCCACTTGATCCTTTTTCGCCCCAAGAATATATTTCACTCCAGAATGGCCAAAGAAGTTTAGATCTTTTTTTGTTCTTTTTTTTTTAATTGAAAGAATATATTTCAATCTTTTTTCTCCAGAAATGTCCATGCTGGATCTAAGTAAGAAATAATAATATATATATGTTTTATTTATTTACTCAAAGAGCTTTTTCTGAGTAGAATTTTACCCAGAAGAAAAATTCTTAGATTACAGGATTGTTCCCTTTAATGAGGCCCTGGAAAAGCTTATTCTCCCATCTGTGGCCTCTCTCATTCGCGTTCGGCTAATCAAATTACACGGCATCTTTAATCTTGCCTTATGAGCCAGTTTATTAACTTAAATTCTTCAAACCCTGCAGCAGTGAGTGGGTGAGATTCAAAAGAGATCTATATGGAGTGCAGGGAAGCGCTATGACAGGCAGGCGCAAAGATGATGACACCTCTGTGATTTTATTTTATTTCTTTTAAACAAACAGTACTCAGCTGATATTTACTCTCAAATAGATGCGTAAACACATTTCTAAATGACAGTCTACAAATCATAAAGCAGACTTTATTAATCTTTCCCAAAACAGTGATGTGGTCACAAATATAGTCTGCAAACAGTGTCTCCTCCAGCCCTGTTGGGTGGAGTTATTAATGAAAGCAACCGTTCTGCCAATCCGTTAATCGTAACCACTCCGAACCACATCATATATCACACAACTCCACTCCGACAGCCAGCCAGCAAACCGATCCGTCAACCAGTCAGGCACCGCGGCAACAAGCCAACCAGCAGTAAAACAACTGATCAGGCTGTAAGGCCGTGACTTAATCCAACTGCTCGAGTTGCATTCAGCTAGCTAGATGGTCAGGCTGTCAAAGACATCAAGCTTTTAACCCAACATGGCGAAAGTCTAGCATGTGTTTGGATTCCTTCAGCCTGCAAGTCTATCCCCCAGCCAAAGCAGTCGATTTTGGCCAGAGCCTTGTGGAAAAGATGCAGTTTGCAATCTGTACACCATAGACACAATGTGACACTTAGCATCGGGTTGAGCAAGATTTATCATGCACGTTCATTGCTCCTCAGTGAATATACAAGCTGTGAACCAAATTTCACTTCAATCTGTCAGGGACTGATTGCATGAAGCTACAAGTGAGGTCTGTTTGTTTCAAAAACATTTCAAAAATTTTGCAAAAGCGCTTAAACAAACACTTCATCTGACATTTAAAAAAAAATAAATAAAAACTTTCATAAAAAAGTTCACCAAATGTCTTGCAACTGAGACTAAATTTTGTTCAGTGTGGAACTTAACAGAATGATATAATAATTATCATATATATATATATATATATATATATATATATATATATATATATATATATATATATATATATATATATATATATCTGTTCAAAATTAATTTTGGATGCCAACATGAAAACATTGCTAGTGAATACAATATGAATGCAACATATTTCAAACAAAAATAAATAGTAATATTTCTCTTGACTTCCTCTCATTACATATGTTGGAGTACATTTATATTGTTTTGACTTATAATCCTGGCATCTGGCCTGAAAAATAATAAAAAAAGTAATAATAATAAAATATCCAGACCTAAAAAAATTAATAATCCTGATATTCAATATCAAAAATCATTACATAATTTTAATAATGTACCTTCAAATTATAAGTGAGAACTTAGATGCTTACTGCAATAAAATCAGTGGCATTCAAATAATTATTTTCCCCATAAGCATATTCAAGTAATCATTTGTCAGCAATATCATTGATATAACCGAGCCCTCAGAGCTAGCATGCTAGCTCGAGAAACAAAATAAGCATTCACTTGTTCCCAATTTTAAAATGCATAAAAAGCTGAAGGTTGTTTTTTTTGTTTTTCACAGACATCTAAAAGTTGAGAGTAATATCAGTCAGATATGGCAATGCAGGAATTTAATAGAGGGCTTACAAAGGGCTTGACGCCTACCTGCTGCTGCTGCATTTCCCACACCTAGCCTGGTGACAGCAGCTGTCCTAATGAGACACTGACAGTGGCACCAGTCATCTGACCCCACAAATAGGTCTTTCAATTGGAAATGACCCTAATCATATTGTTAAAGTGGCCCAAGGATAATAAACTAATTTTTTTTAAGTATTGCCACAATGTCTGCATTTAAATCCCAGAATTTTGTCATCAGAGCTGTAAAGGAATGTGATGTTTGAGCAAGACAGCCCAAAAGACCTACAAAACCATCTCAGGAAGAATAGGATAAAATCCGATCCAATTTTGAGAAGTCACATGTTTAAGCCAAGTCACACAGTGCAACTCTACCAAAATACTGAGGAAACATATATGTTTCAAATTATGAAGAATGTAAGTTATAATAATTATTAATAGCTATGATTAAGCATGATAAGTTTGAAATTTGGCAAGTAAAAACACTAATCCTATCAATCTAAAAAAAAAAAACGTTTTGCCTATTATAATATCAGATGGTGAGGTGAAAAATGGTCATGGCTCTTTTTATATGCTCTATGACAAATCTGGTTTCAATTGTATAGAAATACTGCTGAGCCAGTAGTTGTGAAACAGGCTGGAGATATATAGCTTAGAAACAGATTGTGAACATGTGATCCTTCAACTGTGACAAAACCTCTCTTACATACAAACTCAGCGGTATGAGGCACTGGCTTATTAAGATAAATTCAGGAAAAATAATCAATTTAATTCTGAATGTCCTGTTTCTGTCATTGGCTTGGAAACCTTCCATCAAAATAAACGGAAAACATAGGAAACTGTTAAATAGTCACCTGGCCAACACAATCATTTGGAACATATAGAAGCACAGTTGTTATGTTTCCCTTTGGAAATGTGCTAAAACCTGATCAACATTGAAGTGTTTGAAAGAGGAATTTTCCAAAGGCATTTTATTATTTTAATATACACAATTATATTCCTGTATCTATAGGAATTCAGATATTCCTATATTTCTAGGTACACTAGACTGGTACAGATAACTCAACCGTGTAAATTAGATTTAGATACAGAGATGCAGAATTATTAATTATCCACCAAATTCTAAGTAATTAATAAGTAATTTCTAGTATTTCTAGTCTGATGTGAATAAAGAATAATTCGTTAAGGAACTAAATGATTATTTCATTATTTCAATGATTACCCTGTGCTCTAAAAGCAATGCTGTGCAAGTCCAGTCCTTGAGAGCTATGACAAGTTTTAGATGCATATCTTCTCTAAGACACACTTGGGGCTCGGAATCAGACTTTTGACCCAAGCATGTTGGAGTAAGGATGCATCTAAAAGTTGCGCGGTGGCAGCTCTCAAGGACTGGACTTGACAAAAGATTTGGCATTCAATATTCCAGCACGTCCATGATGAGTTCAAGACAGCCATATGCCCACAGTATAAAAGTGAATATGTTTTTGGACGATATCTTGTTGCTATTTATGCTTTCCAACTGGCACACACAACAAATATGTGCACCACAGTCTGAAATGACAGAAGAAGCTCCCTTCATGTTGCTCAACACCCTTCCTTCAAGAGGCCAGCAACAGCAAAGGTAAAATAGCCTTGAGACTTTGAGACAAAGCAGGTTAAAATTCAAATAAAGTTTTAAACACTTGCATGATGTTAATTTTTTGTTGGGCAACGAAACATTTAGGTTTCAAATACTTAAACCCTTTTTTATGAATTTTTTGGCTCTGGTACATTGAACTAGTTGATTAACCCATTGCTTATGTACAAAATTACAAAGTTTTATTTATTTATTTTACTGGATGTTCACAAATATTTTTTATATGGTGTAAATGTTAGAAATAAAAAAATAAAATAAAAAAAAACATGAGGAACCACTCGTTTCTTCTAAATTTGACAGGCATGCTGAATGTCTTCAGAACCAATGAAAACCCGGGAAAGACTTGGCAAAAAAAAATCACTTTTGAAATTTTGATAGTATCTAAGAATGAAATTACTTGAGGTGCCCTCTAGCTCTTTACACATTTATCAATTTGTTCAAGTAGAAGTGCACTGAAAAAAATAAGTCATTGGATGAACATAAAAAAATTATGGAAAGGATTTCCACCTGATTACTTTGCTTTATTTCAGCACCATGTACTTGTGTTACTCCTATTTAAGCAAATGTGTTAGGTCAACCTAATTTATTAAGATTATTCCAATGTAAAGCAAATGTGTTGGCTCCACTTGTTACAATGGTGATTCAATGGGTGATTCTAAATCAAACATGTTGGCTCAACGTAATATATTGTGGTTATTCTTATATAAATAAAATGAGTTGGCAAAACATAATTCATTAAGGTTGTTCTAATTTAAACCAAATATGTTGGCTTAACCAGAATTATGGTAAGGCAATGGATGATTGTAAATCAAATTAGTTGGCTCAACTCCATTCATTAAGGTTATTCAAATTCAAATGAAATGTGTTGGCTCAACATATGTTTTAAAGGTTCCTTTAACTCAGTTACTATAGCGTGACCCAGTGTAATGCAATACAGCCCGCCCAACTAATCTGCAATGTTTAGGACCAAATCATTGATGTAACTTCATTAAGATGAATGTAAATCTAGTTGAAACCACCTTATTTTACAGTGGTACCTTCACACTACCTGATTCAGTAGGTCCAACTCACTAAAAGTAAGTTAGCTCAACAAATATGCTTCATGCTAAAAGACAGCTAGTTAATCGTGTGGAAATCCTTTCCATTATTTCATGACGTTAATTCAAAGACATATTTTCAAGCGTTAATCAAGCATTTTAAGATAGCACTAGGTGAAAGTGTAGGAAGAACACTCAACAATTAGAAAAGGTACAACACAATTGTATTTTCAGAATTGTTATACATCGTTTTTTTACACAGCACAAAACACAGCTGAGTTGGACATTGAAATAAAAAAACAACTACAAAAAGGTTACAGTTTCATTTCCCAGCCAATTCTTTACAACATAAAACATGTCAGTATAGTTGCTCAACTTAGAGAACTGTAACAATATAAATCTTTTCTACTGCAGACTTTAAACACTCATTTTCCATATGAAACTTTGCTCAACTTAGCAGCGAGTTTCATATTGAGAACTTGTGCTTTCTTTGATAAGTTCTTTCCATCCAATTTCATTATTATTTTCTGTATTACTTCAAAGGTATGCTTGAGTTACTGAGCAAGTTGAGTGCTGAACGCACTAAACTTGAGGGTAGCTCAAGTTTAGAGCATAGATTAGTCCCAGCAGCATCACTATTGCAGAAGATACACTGCCCAAGCTGTTCATAACTTCCACCTCCTCCAGGACAATCCCAACATCCAGATGTGCATCGGCAGCCTCTGCACCCTCTGCTCAAATGACGATTCCGAGGACAGTCTCGGCTTTGGCCATTTCTGCACATTCATCAACGTCCTAAGGGAGTTAGGGAAGGGTATTGGGGGAGAGACAATTCACATGTAATTAAATAAATAAATTAAGACTGACATTGATTGAGTCACTCATGGACCTTAGTTGGTGAAAGTATTTTAACAACTCTTAGGAGTTCTATTGTAAACACAAAGAGAATTTAACATACCATGTACTCCCTCACCAGCTTCTCTGGATCTTCATTTAGGTACACACACAGACCTTTGAGGATGCACTCTCGTCTGACCTCAGCAGTGTCTTCCTAAATATGCAGATCAAAAAACAATGAGAACAATCTCAAAACTCAGCAGTATAGGTTCACACACTTGAAAACATAGCTGCATTCAAAAAGGAAGTCACAACAAAAGTGATCAGTGGCTTGCAGTCTATTTGAAAGATATTTAAAATTGTTAGTATCCCTTCATTATGCCATGACTAAAATGGACTTTAACATCTCATTTAAACATCTAACTGAAGCTGTTAGAGTTTTAAATAAAGACATGAATATATCACCAAAGAAATATGTGAAAAGTACAGAATGGTCAACACAGTCTATATCCTTCTACTTAAATGAATATGCAAAGCATTCCATGTCTTACAAGTACATGGACAGTCTATGTGTGGGCATGGATAACGTCGCATATGCCGGTGTTTAAGTGTAAAATGTTTTAACAGGTCATATCTACGAGACAGAGAGAGACTACACTCCTTACATTTCCACATCCCCACGCAAATAAAGACAAATAAAACAGACTGGCCAAATAATGTTTAGCTGAACCCTAGCTTTATAAGCTCTCTAACACTACATTCAGTCACTTTAGATCTGGCAAAACTTACTATTAGCCACTGAAATCTATAACTTGATAGCCGATGAGCCCCTTGACCAGTACTTACGCAGGTGGATTACAGACAGGTGATGTTCTGAAAGAGATCAGATATATTTTCAGCCATTAAAATATGCAATTCATACTGAACTGAGTTGTATCTTTTAGTACAAGTCCCTTGAATGCCTCATGAATATAACCACTGGACACTTGTATGCAAGCACATATGTGCAGAACAATGGTGAATTGAACATTGTAGAAAGCAATAGTAACAAAGGTCAAAATGAGCACAAACAATCAACACAAAAAACATCAACATTTCAAAATTAAACCAATGAACTTCAATATTGTTTCTGAGCTACAATTATTTGGGGACAACAAAGAAGAGTCCAAAAAACCCCAACATCTTTATAGCAGAGGAATATGTATTTTAAAGAAAAAAAATAGAAAGCTCAAGTCTGTAATAATGGATAATCCATTGAGAGTTTTAGCCTGACAAAATATACTAGAAATCCATAACTAACAGGTATTTTAGGAACATTTAACAAAGCTCAGAAAGCAATGCTTTCTGCAGGTTTCACCGACTGAAATGTAGGACTTTTTATTACCATAATTAATTAAGAATCTCGATGATGATAGAAAGGTACCAAAGTGTGTGTGTGTGTATCTACATTTACCTCCATAGTAACATTACTGAAATAGAATTAAAATAGTTAGAAATAGACTGATGTTAGATCCGTGTGTTAAAAATCCACTAAACCTCCAGGGAGCTCAGGAGGAGCAAAACTGTGACATTTCCGGGGTCCATTTGTGTCTCTGGCAGCAGCTTTGTGACCCTTACACTACATATGGCTCTGCAGAGTTTTTTCGCAAAGAATGTACCTAACATGGTGCGGCGATAAATGTAAACAAAAAGCTATCTGCCTTAACCTAACCGACTTAATCTACAGAACATGAAATAATGTGACACAAGTATGGAACAAGTAGAAAATGGTGCAAATGGTAGAGAAATTTTAAGTTACATATTTTTATATGGATTTAGATGAAAATAGTTTGACTCTTACCTTTTTCAAATTAAGTAGATGCACGCCAGGAATCTCCCCTCTGCCCTTGAAAAAACCCAACAAGGTGCGAGCCAGTTATCTCGCGTGATTTTCCGTAATCTCTTGATGTCGCTGGATCCTCTTCAGCGGGAGATGAGTCTGACACAATAGCGCTTTGGAACTGACGTCACTGTGTTTTTTTTATTAGATTAACTTTGACAAATATTGATATTGAATAAAATTTAAAAAAAAACATATATATATATATATATATGTTTAAAAAAAAAAAAAAAATATATATATATATATATATATATATATATATATTATGTTTTTTTTTATTTTATTCAATATCAATATTTGTCAAAGTTAATCTAATAAAATATATATATATATATATATATATATATATATATATATATATATATATATATCTTGGCACAGCCAAGATACTGCGCAGGACCCTCAAGCTCCCAGGCCTCTGGTAGAGGCCTGGGAGCTTGAGGAATTAGATGTATTCAAGTTGAGATAACGTCATTCAATCACGTTAGTTCAGTTGAGAGAAAAAACCGATTGTCTCGCGTGTTCTCGCGTGATATCCCGTGATCTCACTCGTTGTCGTCAGCACAATATCAGTCTAACTATAATGAATCATGTTAGTTCAACATGATTCAATTTTATAAATGTGAAGTCGTGGAATATCTTGTTTATCCAACATGATTTTATCACGTTTTCGCTTCAAACCCAACATTATTGTGTGAAAGGTACATAATATTCTATTGTTAATGTAATACGCCCCGACGTTCTTTTTTTTTTTTGGCGGAAGATCTAGCTGACGTAATTGAATCACGTTATCTCACCTTGAATACATTTTATTCCATTTGCGAGAAAAAACCGATTGTCTCGCGTAATCTTGCGTGAACTTGCGTGATATCGCGTGATCTCACTCGTGGTCTTCAGCATAGGATCGGTCTGACTATAATGAATCATGTTCGCTCAACATGATTCAATTTTATAAACGTTGAAGTTGTGGAATATCTTGTTTATGCAACATGATTGTATCATGGTTTTGGCTCAAACATGAAATTATTTAATTAACAGTACATGATATTCTTTTGTTAATGTGATAACCCCTGAGGTTCCTTTTTTACAGTGTGTAGCAACAAGATATATACTGAGAGGGTGAGAAGACACCTGTTAGATTTGGTCAATACATGCTACTTGGTAACCAAAGCCAGCTTGGCCATGTCACTGTAAATCTTCCTGAAACAGAATATAATTTTAACGGAATCAAGAGGAAATAAATCTTTGCCCTCGATGAATGCATAGTCTCAACATTGCTGACTTTCTCCTTCTGGGCAGTAATGTCATTTAAGCCCTTTTTTTATTCTTCTCTCAAGCGTACATCAGTCTGCAAATCTGTGTCCAAAATATACCTTTCCTTCAGTGTTGACCCAAGATATTTTTCCCACGATGTCATTTGAGAGCAGCCTGGAAAGACTATCACTATGCTGTTGATATGACAAATATAGAGCGGAGCCCTGACAACGCGGCGTAAAGGTCAGCCAGAATTCAGCCGATAAGACTATACAGTATACGTTAAGAGCTTTAAAGCTGCGGTATTGATAGTAGCGTTCGATCAACGCTGTTGATTCTACTGTTAAGTTTATTCTGATCTCTCCTTTTGAGGAGAACTGTGGCCTCTGAGGAAATAAGCGACTGAAATCTGAGTTGTCTGCTTATCGGTTTTCAAGAGTCAAAGTTTCACTTGTGCTTAAATGATCTTGACAGCTCGCAGTGTTTTAGTCATGGTAAATTATTTGCACAGTGTCAAAAAAAAACATGTCTAAACATATATGTAAAAGTAATCTTTTAATAGTACAAACATGTTTCTTCTTAGTGGACGTGGACTGAGTGGTTCAGGTTTCAAGTCAGAATCTTACAGAAAATATATACTAGAGGGAGCAAAAATAAAAAAAATAAGAGTGTTGGCAAGGAGTCACTCCAATTTGAGAGAAATGGCCAGAAAACCAAAGGGGAAAAAAATGCAAAAATCTGGTTGACATCAAAAAGAAAGGTTTGATTGCTTAAATGCAAATAAGATTTTTCCAATTACTTGAGAGAAGAGAGTTCATTTTTGAAATATTCTTCTTCAGTCGGATGTGAATAAACAGTTTTATTTTCCTCCTATGTTGCTTTCTTTGTCTTTTGAAAGATAGCTCACTCATTTAATCATGGAAGCAAGCATTTTAATTGAATAGAAAAAAAAATACAATTATATTGACTAGGGGTATGTATCATTAGACCTGTTGAAGTTTGGTATTGACTTCTTGTGGACCCGATCTAATGCTTAGAGCAAATCTGGATTTATAATAAATTAAGATGCCAAGACAGTGCAGGCAAGCTTAGCTGCAGTAGACAAATAATAATTAATAATAAGATAAGATAATTAAGAGAATCTCACATCAGAAACTTAAATCATCTCAATGAATATGAACATTAATTTTATCAAACAGATAAAAAATAAATAAATAAAATCAACAAAAAAAAAAAAAAACACTTTCTTCTGTGCCCAAAAGCTCAGTGAGAACTTTTGAGGTGAAGCTAGAACAGGTATTAATTTTGTCAGGTAGGAATCCACTGTAGTAACATTTCAATCCAATGGGCTGATCTACACGAGCGAGTTCTCCTGCTGTTTGTTCTCTATACAAAGTGTTTGTACACATGCAGAGCAAGTCACCTGGCCCTGAGGATTAGAATGCCATCCCATTTACATCCTGCCCACAGCTTTCGAAATTATTCAATTTTGCTAATCTTGTTTAGCTTTAGAGTATGTAGCTTTGAGGCATTATGGCATCCTTTTTCATTTGGGCATCCTTTGACTATTTTTGCATATCTACTTTCTTCCCCCTTTTTTTTAATTTCCCCCAAATAAAACTCATGGACACAGGCTTGGCATTGCACGCAATTGAAAAGAAAAAAAAAAAAGAAAAAATTAGGAGCAATACCGGGTCAGCCTGAAGGCTCCATACATGTTTGATAGCTAGACTTTGCCTCCTACTATGCTATCACAGAAACACAGAAGCAGATATTATATTTAAGAGGTCAATTTACTCTTCATTATTAGTCACATAATCTTTCATGCTCAAAAGCCAGAGCTACATAACAAGTTGCAATATTCATCTATAAAACTAAATTGCAGTTATAAGATATAAATTAATGTTTTTCAAGAAAACAGTAGAAAAAACACATTTTTTAAAATTTTATTTTATTTTTCAGTCTTGTATGTAATGCATGTATTATTTTCATGTGTAATTCTCTATTACACCCAACGAAACAAAATCTATTGTGGAAAAAAAAGAAAATTCCCAGATAAATCTCAACTCATGTTTCTCCTTGGTTTGTGTTCACACACCCAGCATGGCTGAAATTACCTGCTAGAGCTAATGTGCGCTGATCTGTAAAATAATTTTCAAGTGCTGAGAGGCTTTCCATTCCAAGAGGTCCCCAGTGGATTGAGTGTTAAGTCCTCAAGACACAATGATGCAGAAGACATTTGTTCCCTGAACTGAGCCAGCAGGGAAGCAGCAGGCTAAATGTAACCAGATTTCCAATCTTATTTGCTTTAGTTAGGGAAGCTCTGATGATAATAAAAAAAAAGAAAAAAAAAATGCTTTCCACTGCAATCTACTGGATACTCTGTGTATAGTGACATTACACGAGCTTAACAAATGTATTGAGACTCAGGTTTCCAATTTGAAGGGATAAAAAGAAGATACAAAGTCATGGTAAAAATATTGCTTTTGTGATAAATAATATTTGGAAATCTCAGGTGTTGAAAGAGTGTAAACACTGTGTAACTGCACTCTTTCCTGAGTATTAATATTGTTTCTCGATTTTCAAAACATGGCAGAAAATAAAAGATGAATCTTCTTAAACCTGAAAGACCATCTTGATCTTAGAGCTTGGACGCTCACTGTGAATGAAGAGAAGGAAAAATAAAAAATAAAACAAGCTTTAAAAAAAAAAAGGACAAATATCGTTTTTCCATTCCCCCTGTGAGATGTATGTGATAAAGCGAAATGTCAGCAAAAATACTAAAGCGGCATGTCAGCTGAGCAGCTGACAGACGGGAGGGAAGAGGTAAAAATGTTCTATCATGTCCGACAAGGTGTTCTTTTTGAGATTTAAAGATCATTGCCCAACTTTAAACATGTTTGTCACTTTTTACTCTGACGCAGAGAACTATCATGGGCTTCACAAGAACTTTATCTGCTCAGGCTCAAGGTAAGGGAGAAGGGGAAAAGATGAGAGGGGGGGGGGGGCGGTAAAAAAAAAAGTCCATTCCCATTTAT